CAGTCCAGCAGTGACACTGAGGTGTTTAAAAACTCCAGCAGCACTGCTGTGTCTGATCCACTTGTACCAGCACAACACACACTAACACACCACCACCACATCAGTGTTACTGCAGTGCTGAGAATGATCCACCACCCAAATAGTACCTGCTCTGTGAGGGTCCATGGGGGTCCTGACCACTGAAGAACAGGGTAAAAGGGGGCTAACAAAGTATGCAGAGAAACAGATGGACTACAGTCTGTTTTTCATGACTGTTATATTGTTACACCACAAATAAGCGCAGACAATGCGATATCCAAACCATGCTAACGTTAGCCTGTTTAGCTGTGCAGCTGAGCCAGGCATGTTTTAGACACATTTTAAATAAAAAATGAGAAAACAGAAGACCCTCAATCACCTCCCGTTGTCTAATTCATTGCGTCTGAAGCAGCTGAGTTTGTTTTCAAGGCAGACATAAGGGAATGGCCAGTCTTTTGGGGTTAGCCTTAGGTGGAACGGGAAAATTCTAACAAAGATCTGCCGAATAGGAAGTCAACTTCAGCCTTGTAGAAATTAAGACATGAAACAACATTTAGCAGCTTTTTACATAAGTAGAATAAAAGGAACAAAGTGGCTAAAGAACTAAAGGACTAAACTGTAAACTGTAGTTATACAGTAGTGTGAAGTAGATTGATTTTCCTCGCAGAAGTGAAATTTTTAGCCTTTAGAAATAGTAAAGTACAAATTTGTTTTTTTTAGTACATGTAACTACTCTAGTAAATGTATCTAGGTAATACCCGGTTATTGGTTAATATGATACCTCGGTTGGCAGACTCTTGAGTGGGACAGTTATAAGTGCTTGGGGCAGTGCGTGTCCTTGGCAGGCTGATGTGAGTATGATGGGACATTCCAGCAGTGATCCACCACATCTGCTGCTCAGCCTGGGGCCAGATGTGCACACAGGGCCCGAGCTGGTGCTGCACACTGCGCTTCGCACACACTGCTTCATGAATACAAATACCCTGTCAGAGACAGAGCGACCGCTCATCCTCAGAAACCCTCTCATGCAGCTCAGCTGTTTCTACACTGCCTGAAGTTTCTCAGCTGTTTTTTAACACAACATATCTATCTATCTATCTATCTATCTATCTATCTATCTATCTATCTATCTATCTATCTATCTAACTCTCTCTCCCTCTCTCTCTCTCTCTCTCTCTCTCTATATATATATATATATATATATATATGTGTAACTTGGGCCAAAATATTTTCAATATGTAGTTTGAAACAGTAGTTTCGAAATGAAGTTGACCTTTTTAAGTTGACCTCAAGTTGAGGACATTAGAGTTTACTCAACTTAAAAAAGCTCACATTTCTTAATATTGCATCTTAAGTAGGTAAACAATAGACAATATTTCTGTTTTCCCTCTCTCTCAATTTCTCCACAAGCTGGGACTCATTTAAATAACACAACCAGGCGTTTTTTCCTCATGGGTTCCCAGTTATGGACAGCTGTGACATCGCCAGGTTCAAACTCTGACCTCTTGACGAAGGGCCAAATGCTTAAGTACAAACATGGCAGACTTCAAATTTTACATTAATTGAACATGAGATAATAAGTTTACATAACAAAAAGTAAGAAACATTTTTGTTAGCTATTAATTTGACATTAAATTTAAAAAAATTGCAAAACTTAGATTTTAAGTTTTTGTATTAAGTTAAATAAGACATTTTAAGTTTCCCTACTGAAGCATGTTGTGTTGGGTAAACTACAATTATCATTTTAGCCCAGTATATTTCACATTTTATTTTTTACAGTGCTGCTGTAAACAACCAGTGTCATTACCCATTGCTCACCTTTAATGCAGCATTACAGACTGAACTGGAGAATCTAAACAAAAAACCTACACGGTTGACAATGACAAAAACAAGCAAAATGGATCCAAAGCCAACATTTAGCATGAGGATAACATGTTAAACCAAAGAAAAAAGAAAAATGAACCTTTATTTGAATAAAAAATGAAACTTTCTTTGAATAATTTACATAAACAGCCAGGTGTAAACACCCCAGAACACACTGCGACCAGATTATGACCACATTTGACATGATCAGAGACAGATTGTCACTGAATTTAACACAAGTGTAAATGGAAAAAGTAAAATCAGATCTCATCTGGTCACAATGGGGACACGTTTAAGTAAAAAAAAAAACTAAATGGAATTAGGCCAGAGATAGGTCAGACATCAAACATGTTAACCGCTATTGTCTGAAGAAAACCTTGTATCTCCAAAATGGTAACTTTATGGGAAAAGGAAAAAACATGCTTTACTTTTAATGTAAGTCAATGGAACCAGACTTTTTTCCAAGTCATTTTGGGCCGTTTCCTTTAGTCCATTCATCGTGGAATTTACACATGATGTACAGAACAACATGCATTTACAAATTATGTCAAAAACTGAAAAACGTCAAAAATGGAGATACAAGGTTTTGTTCCAACAGGTATTTGTTCTTGCTTAGCTACAAGTAACAGTGAGAAAATCTAAATTTTGAAAAAAAAAGCACTGTGATCCCTCATTTCTGTCAAGTAGTGCACATTCTTTTGTTCATTTTGGAGCAAAATTGGAGTCTGCTTAGGAGAGAATCTGACCGCTGGACAGCAGTAAATTACACCTCTCCTTAAATTAAGATGTCCAGTTTTTGTCATGCAGTATGAGAGATTATTGAAGATGTGAAACGCAGGCAAGCAATGTTAAGGAGTAAAATGAATCATGGCTTTCTCCTCCCAGCTGTTTAGCTCTTAGAAGTTTGGCTACATGTGTGACATGTTTTTTGAATGTCATTCTATAATTGATTACATGCAATCATAGACAAACGTTTGAACACCACCAGTCAAATTACATGTGTAGTTGATTTTCTAAGTTAAGATATTATTTATTTGCTGAGTTTAACATGTTAGAAAAATATATGTAACATAAAGTATCATTTGTGCCATAACTTTTGCACAGGCCATATTTTATGTTTTTTTACCCAATATGTTAAATTTAACAAATAAACAGTAATTGTGCATTAAAATGTGCAGAGGTACAGGATGTGTTAATTTATCTTCTCTCAGAAAATCAACAAAGAGGGGTTCAAACTTTTGCATATGACAATATTTATGTTGTTAATTTACAGCTGAGTTCTGTATCCACAGAACTGGGTCTTTTCTGTTTGTTTTAATGTCAAAAAATATATGAAATACATGAAAATGTATTAGGATGGCTTTCATCAACATAAGAGGCTTAAAAGAATGTCATGTAAACCTGTAGTTCCATTGTGAACTACAACTATTGTTACTATTACTAAACCATTTTAAGGCACTTTTTAACATTAAATTGACGCCTCTAGCCAATATATTGTCACTTTCCAAAGAAAAAACAAGTATCTTCAAAATAGTAACTTTAAAAAGGCAAAATGTTCTTCATTTTTTATATAAGTGCATATGAAGAGACTTTATTCCAAGCCATTTTGGAGCATTTCTATTGGTCCATTTATCATGATGTAGAGGGCAGCTGCTGGGCTTAAATAATGTACAAAAAATTAAAATCACAAAAATGGGGATACTTTTTTTAACAGCGACAATATGTTGTCCTCATAAGCTATAATCAGCCCGCCTCTCATGCACCAAAATGCGGCCATGTTTTGGTTTCAAGCGCCATGACTGCACAGACCAAACAGGAAGTGGTGGTCATGCAGGCATAAACACTCACTCACAAGATGTTTAGTTTATACAATATGTAACAGTGGAGGACTCTGGATGCACAAACACTGCAATAAATTATGCAGCTTCTAAACTTAAAAGAGTAAATAACCTGGTTGACTTGAAGTTTGAGGTCACATTAAGTAAACAGAGGAATAATTTGTGTTTTACGTTTGTTAGCTTGATATTAAACATTCAATAAATGCAGCATTTCAAGTTAAGATTACTTCCTTTTATTAGTTTTTACAGTGTAATTTTATTAGTCTTCTATGTACACTTTCAAAAAATAGAGGTGTCAACAGGAGTTTTTGGAATGAAACCCTAGATCAACCACTTTTGGTTGCTTGGGGAACTTTTCAATGGCTCATTCTTTAAAGAACCTTTGAGATACGTGTGCAAAGAGCCCACATAATGTAAAGGTTCTATAGCAGTTAGATTTTTCTTAGAACTGCAGGTCTTAGCCAAGAAATCTTTTTTAAGTGTAGGCTTAACCCTTGTGTGGTGTTGATGTGTTTGTTACTCAGTGGTCTGGTGGACCCACCACATTATTGTTATTTAAATCAATACAGCCAAAACAATTTATGTAAAAATACCAGAAGTGTAAAACATCACAAGTGTCCAGTGTAGGGTTCTCCTTTAGCAGCTGTAGCCAGTCAGCAGCCTGTCCATGTTGTCCACCCTCACACACACACACGCACACACATACACACACACACACACACACACACACACACTCACAGCAGGCCATGTAGGAGGAGAACAGAGTGAAGGACACAGCACCTCCACACTTTTACCCCCCCGCGGGTTCAGCCCAACACCACATGTGTAATATAAATGTGTAGGGGGTGAACAGAGTGAAGACACTGAAAATGGGTTATTTTATATGTTCTTCACAGAAAATGAGCAAAGGCCAAGAAATCTGGGGTTGAAATAATAATAAGTTTTTCTTTTGGTAAACATTGAATTTGGGTCCCACAGACCTGAACACCACACAAGGGTTAAGTATAGTCTTTGTTTGTCTGCCCTGACAGAGCTTCAGCTTACAGTAAAGCTTAGCTTCACTTCACTTTTATACACTCCTGTTTGCTTGTGTGTGTCTCTGTAGTACATTCAGATCATAAAACCTCCTATTCTACTCACAAAAGTGTCATCGAAAGTGACTAGAATCTGAATTTCGGCAGAATTGTTTAAAAGAGCAATGAGTGACAGTTAAGACGGTTCAAATAACTTCATGTTCTTTATGATGTGTGTTTAGATGTGTTTTGATTTGTGTGTGTGCAGGAGCTCTCCTGATGACTGCGGCGTGGGTAAAGGGAAGATAGCAGGAGGAGGAGACGGTGCTCCAATGACTTACAGCAACTACATGGAAGACAAACACATCCCCCCACCTAACATGACCACCAACGAGCGTAGAGTCATCGTTCCTGCAGGTCTCACACACACACACACACACACACACACACACACACACACACACACACACATAATATGTATGTATATACAGGGAGATTCACTTGAACGAGGCCCCGAATATTCTGCTGTAACTCCCGTTAGGATGAAGCAATCTGAACCAAAAAAGTACAAAATGCACCCGGAAGTTGCAAACGGAGGTTAAACATCACGACGGCTGTCCAGCGCCTACCTCATCGCTCCGACGCAGGGGCATCCTCCCGCATACTGAGGAGCACATGGCATGCTGTTTCGTTCAGATTGCTTCGTCCTAGCGAGAGTTATTGCAGAATATTCAGGGCCTCTTTCGAGTGAATCTCCCTGTATGTATATATTATTATATATATATTTATCTACAGCTATTTATAGCCCATAATGTCTTTGGCCACCCATGGCAAACATATCTAACCATCTAAAAGCTAAAAAACACACCAAGAATTCATCAATTGCACTGCATTTGGGACAAACACCCTTCTGTAAATATTTCTAGTAGCTCTTTGCATCACTGGTGGGCAGGGTGTTGGACGGTGGGGGCTACTTTCATTGCATCTTTAATGTTATAAAAGGGATTTAAAGCACCAGTCTCATCGCACTGCTACTGTTTCTCATGCTCGAACTTTTTTTACCTGCCATTTTCAGTTTACATGATAGTTTACATGATACGTCAACACTAGTTCTGTCACTAGTTCACTAGTTCTGTCTGACTTCTCTCAGTAACATTACCTTAAATTTCCCAACCCATAAGAGTGTAAGGTACGTCACTCTTATTTGTTATGTATGGCATTAAATTTATGTCATGATGAAAAATCTATGCTATACAAGTAATGTAGTTTTAAACTAAAATCAAGATGAAGCACATTGAGGTGTATCGTAAACTAACACAGCTTCATGACATTTTCAGTTTGCGTTATACCCCAGATCTGACCAGAGCTTTACTGGCAAGCTAACTGCTATCATCACACAGTGTTTATGCCCTCAGGTGGCTTTTGTTACCATGCTATCTACATGTTTTCACATCATTGCCAAGAAAGCAGCCACCTAGCTGCTAAATGCTTGCAATGTTTGAATGAGTCACCAAGTCCCTACTTGCATTATCACAGGCTTACTTAACACTGAGGTTACACAAGGCTAAGCGCTTGCTTTCTGTTCACCAGCTTCTTGTTTGAATTTTCTGTTCCATCTTAAATGATGCATCAGTTACACCCTGGCTCCTGTCCAGTCTAAAGCGCAAGCACAGTGAAAGGCAGAGCAGTGGAGTTTTTACAACTTTTAGCTACATTTGAAGATTTTTTTCAAATCTAACTTTGGTTAGTGATCATCAAGTATCCTTAGATAGATAGATGGATATCATCCCATATCTTTAGGATTATTGAGTTTTGATATTTGCAGTCCAGTTGCCTCAATATTAGGACAACTTTGTCTATAAAGATATTTTTTTAAATAAAATAATAATAAATAATAAAAAAAAAAACTTCTATTTGAGCCCTTTTGTAATTGTAATTGGTATTCAAGATTGATAACTGTTTCAGTAGTTGTCCTATTCATCTCCACCAGTGGCGGCTGACAAATGGTTTACTCTCTCCTACTAAAAATCATCTCCTTACGTTTATAACCAAGGTGCATCCATTTGAAGGCAGTGACATGCTTCAAATGTTGTATGTCAGCAGATCTTTTCTTCTCATTAAGCAATCCATAGAAAACTACATAGGAGATACAACACATACTTGAGTTTTCCCATATGAACTCACAATAATAATTGACAATATAATCAAAATAATAACTCAGTTTGATTGCGATTCTGGGAATGATTTAGTGCATTGTGAAACTTCAAATTTCATCACCATTCATTTCAGTTAGACTATTCTGATGTAATGCTTTTAACCCTGTTGAACCAGCTGCCTTGCCACAGATCCGTTCTAAGACTTTGCTGATGGCCCCTGTGACTTGTTTAAATATGCCACCAGAGGAGTTACAGCCACAGTGAAACATATCAGCGTGTGGAATACTTTCTGTGTGCTAACTTGTTTCCCACCACTGTGTAGAAGATGTATGAGCTCATTTAGAGTGCAGTTTAAATCAGCAATAGCTTTTTATTGTTTTTCTCAGTCAGAGTAAAGATGAACTGTGACTGATGTGAGACTTATATTCCTATTCATTGTTTATAAAAATTGTAATTAACATGGTTACACAGTTACAAAATACAACTGAACACACAAAGGTGCCTGGAGAAACTATATACAACGTTTAAAATGTTTAGTATGTACAATTTTTATTTATTTTTTTTTTGTTTAGCAATTTATTTTGTCTTCAGAAATGAGTACATACATTATTGAAGTTTGTAATAGTTGGTTATAATCGGTTTGATTGTTCCAAAATCAGTGCATTTGAATTGCTACCTTCAGATTGATGTCTTTCACATGTATATATTACAATTCTCTGCTTGTTTCCTTCTGGCTGCCGTACAGAAGCTGCTCTGTGTGAGTGTGTGTGTGTGTGTGTGTGTGTGTGTGTGTGCTGTAAGTGCACTCCTCTTGTCTAGACTGTTTCCTTTGGTCAGAAACCCTGAGAGGATGGGGAAGCGCTGGACTTTGCCAGTGAGAGAGAGAGAGAGAGAGAGAGAGAGAAAGAGAGAGAGAGAGAGAGGTTTTCTTATCTGTGCCCCCCACTGGATCATTCAGTGAGGATTCTTCATTCTTCACCCTGTCCAGGAGTTTAGTCTTCCTCTGGATCTAAGAGGGTCTTACTGAGGAAATAAAATCCAAAATGACCATTTCCTACTCCAGCCTGTTACCTCTCCAAAACACTACCCCTTTAAAGTCTAGACACATGAACTTAATAATCCGAAGACTGCAGAAAATCTGATTTTGTCCGTTATCCGATCAACGCATTTAGATGCACTTGAGTAATCAGATAATGGGGAAACTCCAGGTCTACAGTAATCAGATTTCTGCTTTGCAACCAGCCAATAAACTCACAGAAGAAGACGTGAAGTAAACGTAACATAAAACTCAAACTTCATGCCGCAGCTTTTTTTTTATAATCATCGCACTACTTTAGCTGAAAATATGAACATACACCATCAAGAAGATGACGAATATTTAAGTCCTTCATTTCGTCAAGCATGTAGTCTTTTTCGTTGTCGCTCCAAAAGTATTTTGCTGCGTCTTGCGGCGACGCTGTTCGCTTATTTCCGGTACCGCGGTCTGTTTACACACATGCGCAGACTGAGAAATCCAAAAGAAATCAGAGTAAGAGTTTACATGCGCTGAGAAATCTGATTACTGAGCCAAAATCCAGCTCTCTTTATCAGATTTCTTAATCAGATTTCTAGACCTTATTCCGATATAAAAAATCAGATTGTGCCGACCATTTGAATAATAAGATAACTGCAGAAATACAATTATGATCAGATTATTGAGTGCATGTAAACACACTCACTGTTGTTTTGCTTACTATTTAAATGTAATAAATCAATAATTATATAGTTAGATATATATTGTGAAAATGTAAATAATATTTCTCTCTGCGAAACATGATCAAAGTTTTCATCAAATTCAAATCAAAATATGTCCTCCTCTACGTACAAACACAAACACGGTACCGATTGAAGGTATAGAATCCACACTTGCAACATTTCTCCACTTGTTGTGAGAAATAATTAAAATCAAATTGCATCATGTTTTGTTATCACTTTTGAAAATGGTCAGCTCCAAATGTTTATAGACTAAGTAGATTTACATCATTGACGTGCAGATACACACATACTGTATGATTTGTAGTATAATATGATTATATGATAATATGATTTACACTATTAAGAATTGTTATTAAGTGCCATCAAGTCATTTTCAATGCGTTGTGAACATTCTGCAGAATATCCAGTCTTCTGCTTGGTTCTTTAGGCCTCTAAATGGCTTCCTCATGATTCCTCTGATTAGATCCATCCATCTTGTTGCTGGTTGTTCCTCTTCCTCTTCTACCTTCAACTGCTCCAAGCATAATGAGTTTTTCTAATGAATTGGTTCTTCTCAGAATTTGTCCAAAATAAGATTAAAGCTTCAATTATCTGGTTATCTGGGCTTTGAGGGGGGAAGAGGCTTGATTTATTCAAGGATCTCAAAAGCCTGTGCCATACAGACACTGCAGGTATTTATACAGTGCTGTGCATGACATGAAAAACTATACAGAAAGCTGTTTATCTGAACTCGAATCATTTATTTGTTAAAAACATTAAAACTAGAATAAACAAAATAAATAATACCTGGTGATTTTATATGTGGCAGTGTGTTAGCATATCCATTTCCAAAGTTCTCCTCGAGGAACTCCAGGAGTTACAGTTACTTTCTGCCTCAGTTAATCAGTCTTTCATTACATTAAATCAGGTGAGCTGCTGAAGGAATTTGAGAAGTTAGAACCAAACCTGTGACCTTCTAAATGTATTCTTCTTATAACCAACCATATTAAAACACCTCTTAGTGCATTTTACTGTATTTTTGTTTATTTGTATTTAGTGTACTGTTATACAGAATTTTTTGTGGATAATCAACTTCCTGTAGAAACAAGTTTAAACCATTTTAAAGGCTGCCAAAGGCTTTTTCACAGTGCTGTATATTTGAATTATTCTGCCAAATTTTCGTTCAAGTTTTTAATTGTCTCGGACCGAAATCATTTTGTTTTGAGTGACTCTAAACTGTAATTACATTTATTTTATTAAAACAAATAAGTGAACGTTCCACTTGTCACTACCAAAACAATCATAGCACTACTGAAACTTTACCAAATGTTTCCATAGTAACCGTTTCAGTCGTGACAATTGTAGCTCATATTGAGCAGAACTCAAACATGCTAGCCTTTGAACAGTTGTACACACATAAAATCATAATATTTTTATGAAAACATAGAAAGGTTACTTAACTGCAGAAAATATCTGTTTGGGCGGTGACAATTTTTAATGTTACACTGATTTTCAGACTTTGGGACA